CCGCGTCCAACAAACTTCTCTTTTGTCTGCGGCGAACAGAAGTCCTCCAAGACGAGCACAATCGATCGAACGTACCGAGACAATGAACGACTCGAGATGACTCGAAAACACGTCAGCGATTGAAGACTTATCGGTAGACTGCTTTTTCCAAGTTGCAAATAATTGTATAAATTCTCAGACTGTTTTCGTGGCTCTGCTGTTTTCTACTCGTTCTTTTGCCAAATGTGTAAAACTCTCATGATTTCGACGTTTGATAAGAAGATCTGGTCGGTAGACTGTGGACTTTGAAAATAGACACAGAGAAATTAAACTTCTCTCTTGACAGCTCTGCCAAGTTACGAATCCGATTCTTGTATCAGCTGTTTTGCACTAATTTTTGAAGTAATTCCATAATCGAAGTTGCGAATCCGATTCTTGTATCAGCTATTTTGCACTAATTTTTTCAGTAATTCCATAATCGAAGTTGCGAATCCAATTCCTGTATCAGCTGTTTTGCACTAATTTTTGAAGTAATTCCATAATCGAAGTTGCGAATCCGATTCTTGTATCAGCTGTTTTGCACTAATTTTTTCAGTAATTCCATAATCGAAGTTGCGAATCCAATTCTTGTATCAGCTGTTTTGTACTAATTTTTCAAGTAATTCCACAAAAATCATGATCTATCGAAGAGTCAAAAATTCGACAACAATTAAATATTCAGTTAACTTGTGCACATTGAAAAAAAGCTGCATAGAAATTAATGTTTAAAGTTTTAACAGATTACAAATAGAATTCATAGATTCTTCCAATGTTTCTGCTTTTTTAGATTAATTCTTGTCATGATTGCATTAAGATCCTTAGTCTACTCAACAGTATCCATTGTCAACTCAGTGAGACGCTTGCTAGACTCTATGAATCACTTGCTTGATATACAGGGTGTCCCAAAGATATTCTTAGCTCTGGGAAGGGATGGCTGAGTTAACAAGGTATTAATGGACCGCGGATCTTAATGCAAAATAAAACTTTTCTGCATCGATTGCAAGACAAATGTACAAATTTACAAGAAAAGTACAATTTTCTTTCCTCCTGTAATAATTTTAATAAGGTGAAATTAGTTCACCGATGTGTTTTCAGTTCCTTTTCATTTTTGCCAGTGCTTTCAGTTTCACCCACCCGATTAAATAGATTGCAAATAGATACTAAAACAATCAGATTATGCATCCTATAATAATAATAATATAAATAATATGTTTATATATTTTTTTATTATATTTGCAAAATAATAAGTAATATTTTAGTTATTAAGATTTTATTTCGGATCGCTCGCAGCCCGACAATATTACTTATGCCAAAAAATAGACGAAAGCAGTTCCAAGATTAATACTAATTTTTATTTTATCTTTTTCGAAGCAGAATAATTGTTACTGTCCAACTGAAGCATTTTCTCATTTCCGAAAAAAATAAAAATCTTTCATTTACGTTCAAACATATGAAATAAAAATTTCAGTGAATTTACAACTGTTCTCATAGAAGAAAAAGGTTAAAAGTCAACAAAATAACTAACTAACTCCGGTCCCACCGGAGGGTTCGATAATGGCGACTAAATTCGATTGGCCGTCGATAGTGCTTTCACAATGACTTGTGCCATGTGAAAGCACGCCCGGCGAAAGGGCGCCCCTTTGAGGTTATCCTATTAAGGGATCCCATTGTCCTTTCGGAGACGTAGCCGCGGCCACCTGTACACCCTCGCCCCTTAGAATTTAAGATGTTCGCCGTGTCCGTGGGCCATCTCTCTCTCTTTGTTTCTCGTTTCCTTTCTTCGTGCAGGCGATGCCGGCGGCGGCAGCGGCGGTCTCCCTTCAACGAAAGAAGTCACTGCCGGATGTGGCGCAGCCCATTCAGCTGACTGCCACGGCGCCGCTCTCCAGGGAGGAAGTCAGTATCCTGAGCAGCATGAGGAGGGAGGAAATCCGCAGGCAAATCGACGAGAGCGAGAGGCTCAGAGCCAACCCTCTCCTCTACTTGGTCAGTCCTCAGGTTAAAGTGAGTATCGCCGGGGACTTTCACCTTGCTCCCTGCCGAACAATAGCCTGGTCGCGTTCACCGTTCCCTGAGTCATCGATAGTCCGATCGTGTTTGCGCGATGATGAATCTCATTAGTTCAAGCAGAATTTTTATAAAGAATTTGACGCAGTTCTCGATCATCATTGAATATTTATGCCCCGACAGGTTGACTATCGCATCGGCACAGATAGCGGGCCGTGAAAGTGTTTGCATAGGCATGAACTTGTTCGTCATTTCAGTATTTTTATCGAGAATTGACGTAATCCTTGATCGGTCAGTTTCGTTCGCCGGGAATAATATTTTGATCGGTAAAGCAATTTTCTTTTCTATCGACCCGGAGCATCTGGAATTCATTCTCTCGTGGAATTGTAATTGGAAAAAAAGAGAGGTAAATTTTTACAATTTCCTGCAAAGCAGATTTGCAGGAAGCAGTTCTATATTATATAATATTATATATAATAATATTATAATATAATATAATATAATATAATATAATATAATATAATATAATATAATATAATATAATATAATATAATATAATATAATATAATATAATATAATATAATATAATATAATATAATATAATATAATATAATATAATATAATATAATATAATATAATATAATATAATATAATATAATATAATATAATATAATATAATATAATATAATATAATATAATATAATATAATATAATATAATATAATATAATATAATATAATATAATATAATATAATATAATATAATATAATATAATATAATATAATATAATATAATATAATATAATATAATATAATATAATATAATATAATATAATATAATATAATATAATATAATATAATATAATATAATATAATATAATATAATATAATATAATATAATATAATATAATATAATATAATATAATATAATATAATATAATATAATATAATATAATATAATATAATATAATATAATATAATATAATATAATATAATATAATATAATATATTATAATATAATATATATAATATATATAATAATATATTATATAATATTATATTATTAATATATATATTAATATAATATTATATTATATATTATTATATATATTATATATAGCAGTTCTCTCTCTCTCTAGATAGAAGTTCTCTCTTGCGACGAATTCTAGGCTTTTTTATGGCGTACTGTAACGAACCCGTTGTCCGAACTGTTCCGCAAATACATTTGGTCCTCGGACGCGGCTAATTTTATTCCAATCTTTGTGTAAACCCGATCGAACTTGTTAACCACGCAGCTGCGTGCTAGCTTAGAATGATTCATGATGTTTTACACTGGGCTACCGTGTATATACAATGCGTACACATACAGTCATCCGGTCGTTGCGTACGATATATCTGTTTCGAGGAATCAATAACAATCGGCGGCGGATTCTTTGTCTTTTTATCTTGAAACATCTTGCGCCGTGAAACTACGTGTACGCGGGGCATTACACGTGAATTAATCAGCGTGATTATGCGATACCGATTATGGAGCATGAGCAGTCGATACGAAAGTTTCGCGTAAACAATTAAATCTGTTGATTGTCCAGACAGCTGTGAAACGGGAAGCACAATAGCTTTCGATCCCTATACTCGATCGCAAATAATAGTCGATGATGATTTGTACCAACATTTTTGTGATAATTTCTCGGCTGACAATGTTTCTTTTCCGATTAGAGAACGGAATTAAAATAGATTGTACAGAGGGATAAGACGAATTTGATGAGAATGTTGAAACGAGGTGCTGGATTTCTTTATCTCTTACCATGAAGAAGATGTATCAATCGATGACGAATATATAGATTCATTGATACCGTCAGCAGTTGGATTTACAATGACTCAGTTTTAGCGCAGTTTTAGCGATGAGCAACGAAGGCTATTACCGTTGTTGCCTGGGTCAGATTAGACCGACGTCCATCAGTCTGCTTAGTCTAGAAAAAGTTTATCGAAATCTTATCTTTCCTGTCTCGCGGCACACGTAACCATGGCGTACGGTATCGTGCATAAAGTCTCGTTGAAAGGTGTTTCACCATTTCCGAAGGACGACAAGAAATTGATAAAGCCAGAGCAGAAACAAATAATCAGGGCTGTCTCACGCTGCGTGCTTTGGGTGTCGCGGGTGCAAGAGAATGGTTGAACTTACAAAAAAGATTGTAGAGTCTCTGAACGAAATTGTAACAACTTCAGAAAACTTGTAGAACATCCAAAATGATTTTGAAGCTCCTAGGATGAACAGAAAAATTGTGAAACTCTCTTCGGAAAAATTATGAGTCCTCTAGGAAAATTGTAGAACTTCTGAAAAATATTTCAGGGCCTGTAGAAATATTGTAAAACCTCCAGAAGTGTTGTAGAACCTCTAAAAAAATTTAAGATCTGTAAAAATGATAGCACCTGCAGAATTATAGTAGAATCACTGAAATCATTACAGGGTTTTTAGAAAAATTCTAGAGCCACCAGAAGGGTAGCAGAATTTCCTCAAAAAAATTACAAAGCCTGTAGAAAATTTGTAGAATCTCCAAAAAGACTGTAAAACTGTCCACAAATTTTAGAACCATCAACAAAGATTGTAGCACCTGTAGGAAAATATTAGGCGCTCTAGAAAAATCGTTGAGCCTGCAGAAGGGTAGTTGAACCTTGAAAAAAGATTGTAGAGCTCGAAGAAAAATTGTGGAACTCCCAGAAGAGTTGCTGAACTTGTACAGCCTGCAGAGAAATTGTAGAATCATCGGATGGACTTGCGGACGCTCGGAAAGATTCTCAGGGTCTGTAGAAAACATTGTAGAGTCTCCAGATGGACTTCTAGACGCTTGAAAAGATTCTGAGAGCCTGTAGAAAAATTGTGGAGCCTCCAACAAAATTGTAGAACCTGCAGAAAAATTGTAGAGCCTGTAGAAAAATTGCAGAGCCTGCAGAAAAATTGTAGAGCCTCCAGAAAAATTGTGGACCATACCAAACGAATTAAAAAACCCTCAAAAAATGAGTTGACCTGCTATAGAAGATGAGACCCAACAGCTGCTCCTCGGGAGAGCTTAGGGCCTAGGGGTGTTAGGATGAAGCCCTATGACGACAATGACATATCGAAAACGCGGACGAAATGTTGCGTAGAACGGAAAGTAGACGCAATACCCTAGTCGGTTTGGCCTTGGCGAAAAAATAAAGAAGGGGAAAACCGAATGAGAGAGAGAGAGAGAGAGAGAGAAAGAGAGAGAAAGAGAGAGAGAGAGAGAGAGAGAGAAGCCGAGAAAGAAAAGAGAAGGAGAGAACGGGACAACCTGACGCTCGAATCGACGACGCAAAAACGCTCACTTCTTATCGGACGATTGCGAGAGTAGGTCGCGCGAGTATTGATACGTGATTATGAATGTTTAATCGAGCCGGCCGCTTTGAATATCCGGTCTGCGCCGGTCATCCTCTTGAATCGCAATTACCTGTCGCGCGATCGTACACCTTTCGCGCAATACGTTATTATCGGCCGCATCGTATCGATAAAAACGTTCCCGTCTCCGGCGTGGTACATGCAACGTTGCGCACTCTCGAACCCCTAAAAACCTCCAGGCTCCTCTCCATTATGTAACAACATCGTCACACTTTTTCGTTTCGCTTCTTTTTCCCTTCTCTCGTTTCCTCCTCCTCCTCCTTCTTCTTGTTGTTTCATTTTTCTTGCGTCGTTAGAGAAACACTATTTTTACAATCGTGAATCTCGTGCAGCTCGAGCAAACTTGTTGCACGAGCTGTTACACGGAGTGACGAGCACTGTTATGAAATCTCAACAACTTTGCACGTTCTTCCACGTGGATGCTGTCGCTTTTTCGCAGCGATACGGTGTATCGCTCTGCCTGCGCGATTATCGGCGAACACGACGATTCAGCTGCTACCATGCGTCCGAACGTTTTTAAACATGATCTGCGAACGCGATGTTATGGAGATAAATTGGTAAACGAATAGGGTATCGATTATTATGATCGGAACAGGTTGCGCGAGGACGAACGCAGCTTTTTTCTCCTATTTTTTTTTTGTAGGGGACCAAGGATTGCAGAAGAATTTTTAGTAACAATTCATTCGTTTCGACAACTTTCGAATAGCGTATTGTATTCATATACGCGCGATTTATATTCCTTTTCTATTCATATATTCATAATATTGTACGTATATTCGTGTATTATGCATTCATGTATTCCGCATCCCACTCCACAGCCAGTGTAAATACGCTGTCTTACGTTCATAATAAGATTCATATCGAGTCTCCTTAATTAAAAGACCAGTCGGAAAACTGCAATCTGTGGGAGACGAGGGAGCGATCTCCCAGACAAAAAACCTGAGAAAATAGAAAATGATTGACGAACGCTGAAGAAAAGTTGAAACGAAGTCTTCAACATTTTTCACAGTATTTAATACTTGCTTTACGTGTAATCATTTTGTTTTATACATTCGTTTGAAACGCTTCTGTCGAACATACACTCACCGACAAAAGTTGAGAAACGCGTTACACGGATGCATATTCTTGTGTGTAGTGAACCTTAACGTAGTCTAAAAATTCGTATTGTGTCAACGAAAATATTTATTTCACTCTCTTGCAATTTTTCAATTTTCAATTTTCAATTCTCAATTTTCAATTTTCAATTTTCAATTCTCAATTCTCAATTCTCAATTTCCAATTTTCAATTCTCAATTCTCAATTTCCAATTTTCAATTCTCAATTTTCAATTTTCAATTTTATTTTTCTTTCGGCATTTTATATCCTTTTTATTTGTCGTATTAAACAAAACAATATTACAGTATAAGCAAAGCCTTATATTCTTCACTATAATATACACTTCCAATTTAGTAAGACGTATATATTTATTAAAATATCAAATTCTGCTCGAGTCTTCACGGTACGCAAAGTTGCATAATTTTTGCCGGTAAGAGCATATGTCCAGAAAATTCAGGTCTTACTGAAGAACGTAATATGATAGCTCGAACTGCAACACGGCAACAAAACATTACAAAGATCGCCACACGAGGTTACAATGTATCTGACGCGAATCCTGTTTCAGGACTGGTTCTCCCGGCAGAAGCTGGTGATGCTGGTGCTGTTCATCAACATATCCCTCGCCCTGATGTTCTTCAAGCTGCTGACGTAGCAGCCAGCCGACGATCGGATTCACGGACTCGTGGTGGACGTGACCTGAGGCTCGGGGGCGTCGCGACGCCCCGAGTTGTCACCGGAAACCCAAGAAGAAGCATCGACGAGCACGGGGGCAGGTGCGCGCCCCCGACGCAGACCACCGACAACATTGTTGCGAACTGCTAGAGATCAAACGAACTCGGTTCTACGAACGGAGCGAACGTTCTGCAGGACTCGGAGGAGCAGCGTTGGAAGACAGGACATGCATCGGACGACGCACAGGATGATGAAGAAGAAGAAGAAGAGGAGGGATCATCGGCCGAGGACGACGGAATTCGCGTCGAAATGGACGACACGATCAAAACACGGTCGAGGAAAACGAATCACGAAGTACAAGCCGGGGAAGGACTTCCGGTGAGACCAGGACTCTCGCTGGCTGAAGAGAGAGAGAGAGAGAGAGAGAGAGAGCTGATCAGTTTTCTTGGACGAGGCACCGACGACGATTTACGTGCCTCGTCACCGGCTGTACCATACATATTTTTACACCGAGTATTTTAATATAATCATATTTGTAAGGGCTCCGGACGGACCACAATTGAGTCCCCCGTGCCCTGAACACGGTGCGCACAGACACGAATCTCTCTTACACTTTTCCTTTTCGGTTCTCTTCCTCGACGACCGGGTTGGGCCCTCTTTTCCAAGCGGAACCCTCGGGCCTCGAATCGGACGCAACTGGGCTGCGAATTTTTCCGCAAATCATCGATTCCTTATCTACTTTAACATTTTGACTGCCACGGCGACAATCTCGAGATTTTTACGAAATTAGCACTAGATTTGCGGAGCGTTAGAAGCGGCTGTTTCATATTGATTTATGAAAGTAACAGTAGGACGTTTATTCTGATTTTGAACGAGTTATTTTTGTAATATTTGCCGCAAGCAACGCATACATCAAATAAATAACTCGTAAATATCTATCTTTACAATCTGAATAATCGAAAATGAAATGATTAGCGACCCGCCATTTTGACGGGTTCCGTAAACCTAGTGTCAAAGTGTATCGTTTAATTCAATCTGAATTGAGAAGTTCAGTCCGGTTACTTTTCTCTGATAAAATCAGAAAGATGCAACGGATTAGGTTAACCCTAGAACAACCCTCTTCTAGTCTTCGCCATAAGTAACATTATAGGGTTGTGTTTTGATTATTTATCATAAAATTATTACTATATACCACACATATTATAGGTTATGTGACACAGAACCTGAACGTTTTCGTATTCATTTGCTGGTTTGCAGCGAATTGAAAATTTTATGGGGCCAACCCCAAGGCCGTTCTGGGGTTAAAAGGGCGATAGAGTTGGACTGTTTCATCCTCTAATCGGAAATTTGAATTTCAATTTCGAATTTAAATTTCGGTTTCATTAATTAAACGGCCTTGGTATCGCGTGATTTCTTGAGCTTGATCTTTGGCACTCGACGTGTGTTCAACGGCACAGATATTCTTTCCACTGTTTTCAAGTTCACCGGCTCAAGTTTCCGCCGCGAAAAAATCGCAGTCGAAGCTGCCTGTCTTTCGGCCAGAGGAAACCGGCGACGAAATTTTCACCGGCGATCGAAACAGACGTTTTATTGCAAGAATCGTGTCTTTATCGGACAAAGGTGAAAATCGTGCTTCCGGGGCAGAGAACGGGTGCCAGTTCTATTCGATTCGATCCCGAGTGATTTTCTTTCTTTTTTTAAACCAAGCCCAAGCCCGGTCGACTCGACGATCGACTCGAGCGCGGACGACCACACGATCACTTTTATACGCGACATTTAGAGCAGCTAGTGGATCATTTTCAAGCCGAGACGTTCTCGCGGTCGGGGAACCTGGACGGTCGAAGGTATTTTTCAAAACGTTTTTTGGACGCCCTGTATATCGAAAGGGGTTCTTCGGGCTCGAAGCTTTTTAAATAAATTCGCTGGATCGATTTAACGACGCGCGTCCCGAAGCATCGGGACAGCCGGGTGTGAGGGAGGGAGGGGGGGTTGGGGCGAGATTAAAACGTGAACGATTGTTAAAAAGTAACTGGGTCCTCGAGAATTTCTAATCGAAGCTCAGGGCGACGAAACTCGATCTTCTCGTGCGCGGAAAGATCGCTCGAATTTTTGTCGATATCGAACGGCGGTGTCCCGATGCTTGCGGGCGGGAGATGTACATTGATGCTACTGGGCGACGAGTTTCGAGTTTCTATACGATTGTTACGGTTTCTACGAATTTCAGAGCGAGAGAGAACGAGAGAGAGCGCGAGCGACAGAGACAGAGAGAATGCGAGATTGAAAGAGTTGTTGTTGTGTGATTAAACGTTACGATGTATTCATGTGTTATCGACGTGTCCATGTAATTGTATGGTTGTTGTTTCCGCCGTAGCGTCGCCCCCTGTCGACCCCCCTAGCGTCGCGTTTCTATCCGCAGTAGTTACGCGATCGATCGCCGGGCAGCACAAAGTCGACAGCCAATGGGAACGCGTGGAGATCGTTCACCGAGCCGCGCGACGTTGCGGAGGGGAAAAATCTGTATAATTAATTGCGCGAGCTCCATCGGGAGATCACTTCGACTACGAAGTCTATTCGTGTAGCCTTGCCTTCCACGCGAACACACTGTACATAGACACTATTCTCCGATTTTTATATACACATAGCTGCGCACGATTTCGATCGTCGCGATCCGATTTCCGCCGATCGATCGGGACACGCGGATCGAGACTTGGAGATCGTCGTCGGCCGAGGGACGGGTCCAACGAGAAACGCCGATCACACACTGTGCAACAACATTGCGGCCGATCGTTTAACGATTCTTTTTTTTAACACGTTGACTGCCGCGTCACCCGTATTCGGGTGACAGCAAAAGTTCTCATCAGGCCACGTCACCCGTAATTCGGGTGACGCTGATTTCACTACTTACAAAGGATTTCCGAAAATATTTCGACAAATATTCTACAGGAGGTAACGAAACTATTGAATTCTTATAAAAATGGTTTATTAAAAAAATTATTCGCAGTGTATAACATTAAAACATTCTCTGCAAAGTTGAGGTTGATCAGGACAGCTTGGACAAAAAGTTGTTCGTTTTTTCAGATATGCCCGTGCCTCTGATCGGTCCATTACGTATCTTTTATTTGAACTGTAGCTTCCTCAGTATATATAGTCCTCGTCAATACTATCTTCATAACATTCATTATCACTAAGATTATATTTATCAGTATCCAAATCAGAATCTGACGTGTAATTTTATATATGCTTCTCCTTCCGGGCAATCCGATCTCTTTTCATTATTGAAAAAAAATATGGGCAGAGATTTTAAGTTATACCATTCGGTACTCGGCAGAGATTCCAACTGTTCATGCAGGAACAGAAACAGATATGAATTAACAGCGCACGCTTCCTATAGAGATGTGTATAAGAGACAGCTATAGCGGCACGGGTGGCCTGTAGGAGATTTTGTTGTAAACACGCGTGGTAGTCAACGTGTTAAACGTGCCTATTTATTTGTAATTCGTTGTTAACCCGCGCCGTTTTATTCGGGGAGAGTTCGCAGAATAATTCCGCGCAAGAAACAACTGCGTAACTATTATTATTACCGTTCGGACACGATAAACGCTTGAAAGCTTGAAGGAAAAACGGCGTTTTATTTGTTTATCTTTCGGTTCGATCGCAGATAGAGATCTCCGCGAGACGTTTAATTAAAACGCGTGTTGAACAGTGCGTGATAACGTGGGTCCGTGTCGTCGCTGGTGACGATAAAAGTCAGGTGAACCGGCGAAAACGTGTCGGATCGGTGTTAACACGTTCCGTGCCACGTGTACCATCGATGGTACACGCTTGCATGCTTACTTAGTGAACTGAACAAATTGTTTACAAGAAATTTAGAACCGAAGAATCAATTTCCACCGCAAGAATGGGCGTTGATAAGTTTTTGTTACGTTGTTATGTGTACGAGAATTAATAATTGCACGTAATACATCAAGTTTTAGTAGAATATCAAAGTGTGAAGATTCGAGTAAAAAAAGCTCGGCACGGAACGTGTTAATTAGCGACGATAGGGGAGACCGGAAGTCTTCTCTCGGCGCGGGATCTTTGTATTTTCTCGGTGATCGTCGACGACGAGAGCGTCGGCATTGGTACACGTGCTGTGGTAGATTTCAGGAGACTCAGAGGGTCAGCGGTTTTTCGCCCCATGGGGGCTCAACGAACATTTTACTAAAGATCACCACGACGAACCGCAATTTTTGTTCGGCCGTTTCCTCCCCCGCGGGACACGAGGGGAAAATTGTGCTCGCGTGACGCGCCGCCGATCGGCGTCGATCTGCGCGCGCGCGCGCCGGGCTGAAGGTCGATCACGGGGGATCTCGATTTCACTGGAGAACCGGGAGGATCGACCTGCCTGCGCTCGAGCGATCGCATTTTTTTCTAGCCTCAGGCGTAGCTTGTATACCTAGGTGAATTTGTAAATAAGGAGCGGAGAGCTGGCGAGAAAGCGGCGGCGAGAGTGAGAGACGAAGAGAGAGAGAGAGAGAGAGAGAGAGAGAATGTGCGCGGAGCGATTCACAAAAGACGGAACCAATTGCAGATCAGATCCAACGAAATCGCTCACAGAAAAAAATATTCAGTCAGCCCTGAACCGGCGAACCTCGCTTCAAACGAATTTTTCGATCGACGTTGAAATTGTTGACGATGTTGCATATATTTGAAGAACAAGTTACCAATGGATTCGTGTCGCAACGGTCTACGATCGACAGTTTTTCAATGAAATGTTCCATGACCATTGTCATTTTATTCGCGAATCGATAATACATCTCGAATAATGTTATTTAAGGTTATTGTTATTTGAGATTATTATTTAGGAGAGAATATATTAACGTTGTTCTTTGTATCTTTATCATTGTATTTGAACGATTTACCTGAATAGTTTCGTATCGGAGATTTATCGTGGACAATTTTGAAATTAATCGTCCGATGGCCACCGTCGTTTTATTCGCAAATCAATGATACATCTCGAATAATGTTATTTAAGGTTATTGTTATTCGAGATTATTATTTAAGAGGAAATACATATATTGACGTTATTCTTGTATCTTTATCGTATATTTTAATAATTTATTTAAACAGATTCATATCGGAGATCTGTCATAGACGATGTTTAAATTAATTGTTCGATGGCCACAGTCGTTTTATCCGTGAATCGATAACCTATCTGGAATAATGTTATTCGTTAATAATCCGTTTCGAGATTATTATTCAGGAGAGAATATATTAACGTTGTCCTAGGTGTAATCATTAAACAAAGTGTTCATTAAAGCGTTAACATATCAGGATATTATCAAGCTGAATTCGATCAACGAAACTATTAATGTTAATTTATCATCTACAAGATGGCGTCCATTGAAAATGGTCGCGCTAATTTTAACCTAGAGCAGTCGGTGATCGTTAGAGTAAATGATAACAGTTCGATGGAACGTTGATCGATCGATCTTAAAAACCGAACACGTTCGAAGAACAATTGAGAGATTCGTTTCGGACATTCTCCGATGATTTTTTTCCACTTAGGTATGCCCGGCTTTTGTGAATCGCTCTGCGCCGCGATCGGCAGCCGATTTGGTCAAGCACGATTTCGTTGATTTGGTTTCGTCTTTCTCGCGGGAGACCAGGTTTCGAGACTATTTTTCCAAAGAAAGAGGACACTCGCTATTT